ACTCCCAAATATATTTTGAGGTCGCATAGATAAAATTTCGGGCACATTTGTGAGCAAAATGGTCGCAATTTCGAGCCCTGCCATACTAGTGTCTTTTTTCATGTTACTTGTGCTTATTTTTCAGATATCTTTTAAATGAAATACTTGTGCTATTAATTAAATACTAGAGTTTTCAAAATATACTAGTGCTTACTCATTAGACACTGGTTTATTTTATTAGATACTAGTACTTATTCATTAGATAGTACTTATTAAATATATAGTTTTTATGATGGTGGTGGATCTATTCACAGCCCTGCAGTCGATGGTAAAAAGGGAGTAGAGGAACGGGCTCAGCAGCCCTGTGGTACACCAGTGTTGAGTGTGACGCTGGTGGACCAGATGTGACCTGATCTAACATTTTGAGGTTTGTTAGTCAGAAAGTCCATAATCCAGTTGCATAGTGATGTGTCGATATCCAGGTCTCTTAGTTTGATCAGTAACTTGGAGGGTATGACAGTGTTGAATCCTGAGCTGAATAAAATAGATCCACCACCATCATCAAATTTACAGATGTCAGATGCCAGTGTCAGGTTCTGCATTGCAGGCTCGCTATTATGGCCCATATGTAGTTAAAGAAAAGGTGAGTGAACTTGACTATGTGATTGCTACTTCTGACAGAAAGAAAAAAACTCGGCTGTGTCACATAAACATGCTTAAGCCTTACTTTGAATGATCGTCAAATGTGTCTAAAGAGAATGCTGCTGTTTTAACTGTGTTGCCCACAGAGACTCCGTTGACTGACGAGGCGCTGTCCGGTGCTGAAATTCCTGATCACCGTGCGCTGTCCAGTGCTGATCCGTTGATCAGTCCTTTGTCTCCCATTGTTGCTGACGGCGTGTTGTTGGAGGAGGAAGACGTGGATGTTCCTGCTCCTGAGTTAGTGGCGGGAAGACAAAAAAATTCTGAGATTGTCCAAAACCTTGACTTTTATCTTTCCTATTTAACAGTTGCTGAACGATCGGATGTGGTTGGTCTTATTGAAAATCATCTTGAGTTATTCTCGGATGTTCCTACCCGTACGTCTTTAATTGAGCATGATATTGATGTGGGTGACGCGTTACCAATAAAACAGCATGCTTATCGGGTAAGTCCAGAAAAGCGAGAACAGATGCAATAAGAGGTAAATTTCATGCTCGAAAATAACATCGCTGAACCAAGCTCTAGTCCATGGAGTTCACCCTGTTTGCTTGTAAAGAAATCTGACAACACATTTCGATTTTGCACTGATTTTAGAAGTGTAAATGATCTCACCAAGCCTGATAGTTATCCGTTACCTCGTATGGAGGATTGCATGGATCGCGTTGGGAATGCGGTTTTTGTTTCAAAAATTGATCTGCTCCGAGGTTATTGGCAGGTGGGCCTTAGTGACTGTGCTAAGGAAATATCTGAGTTCGTTACACCAGATCGTTTTCTAAATTACACCGTAATGGCTTTCGGCCTTCGAAACGCACCGGCCACTTTTCAACGTTTAGTAAACCGCGTAATTGAAGGCTTGCAGAACATCAAAGCGTATTTGGATGACTTGGTTATTTATAGCACGTCTTGGTCTAAGCATATAAAACAACTAGAGACCTTATTCAACCGTCTGTCGAGTGCCAACCTCACTATCAATTTGGCAAAGTGTGAATTTGGTCGAGCAACTGTGACTTATCTTGGGAAAGTTGTGGGTGGTGGACAAATCGTCCGGTCGAGTCAAAGGTGGAGGCAATTCATAATTTTCCAGTGCCCACTACGCGCCGTGAACTCCGTCGCATTTTAGGGATGGTTGGATACTACAGAAATTTTTGTAGAAATTTTACTGTAGTTGCTTGTCCCTTAACTGACCTTCTCAGTCCAAATGTACCATTCGAATGGTCTGAGGAATGTCAGATGAGTTTTGAGAAAATAAAAGCCATTTTGATTAGTTCTCCAGTCCTATCTGCGCCCGATTTTTCTTCTCCTTTTATTCTTGCTGTTGATGCAAGTGACACTGGTGCAGGTGCTGTTCTCCTCCAGACAGATATAAATAGAATCGAACACCCTGTCTGTTTCTTCTCGCGAAAATTTAATAAACATCAGCGAGGTTATTCAACTATTGAAAAGGAGGCGCTCGCACTTGTCCTTGCTCTCCAACATTTTAATGTTTATATTGGTTCTGTTTCGTATCCTTTAATTGTTTACACAGATCACAACCCCTTACTTTTTATTAGTCGGATGAAAAATGACAACCAGCGTTTGATGAGGTGGAGTTTGTTTTTACAAACGTTTCAACTAGACATTCGGCACATCCGTGGAAAGGATAATGTTATTGCAGACGCTTTATCACGCGTCTGATAGAATAAATTGTAGTTTTTGTTTTAGGTAAGATGTTTTTTCTTCCTTACAATTTATTCACTTAAGGTGAAGGGTGTTACGTGGGTCTGTGTTATTTAATTAATCTATTTATTCCCGGTTTGTGCTTGTTGCGATCAAGTACTAGGATGAGTGTTTCTACCCAGCTTATCCAGGATTGGATGATGCCCGTGACGTCACTGGGGATTCCCACTACATAAGGCTGACAGCAATGGCGTCTCTGTCTCTCTCTGTCTTGCAGTCTCTCGCCCTCACTCAGCTCGGTGGTGGCTTGCGCTCAGGCGGTCTGGCTGGCGGTGCTCTGCAAGCCCGGCGATCATTCATCTAGATGCCGCTCCATTTATTGTTTTGCTCCTGTTCATCTTTTGATTCTTAGTTCGTAATGTGTTAACTAGTTTGTTTATTTTGATACTTTGTTTTGTAGCAGGTAGGGGTTAATTTTTCATAGTCACGTTCTGTTATTTATTTAGTTTAGCGAAGGTAAGCAGTAGCCCTGAAGACTCACCTATTTTTTATTCCTTTTCACGAGAGTTTAGGTAAGATCTGTCCATTTAAAACAGTTTAGTCAGAGACCTGTTTACCTTAGCTTCTCTACCTGTCTACTTGATTTTTGTTAATGTTTTGTAAATTTTTGAAAACTTATGATTTATGGAAAAATAAAACATATTGACGGAACGTCAATTTAACCATATCAAAGTCTGTGTCTTCCATATGTTCGGCTCAAACCTTGATTGTTGTTGTTATTCGAGCCAGATTAGAGTTTAGGCTGTAACACCCACGATTAGATTGCATGCATCTTAACAAAGTCTGCACTGGAAGTCTCTCTCTGCCATTGCTCATTTTAGCAAGAGCACCCTATTGAAACAGGAACAGTAAAGATTCACAATTAGAGTAGTAATACTCTATAACTGTATTTGAATATAATAACAACAACAATGTGGGGTCTGCTGTGATGGAATCAGTAAATTTCACTCGTTTGTGAAATAACAGTTACCTTGTAATCAGGTGCTTAAATGCATCGCAGCTGGCTGCCGTTTGGAGTAGACTTCAAATGCCTTGAGGTGTGCACAAATAGAGACAGAACTGTGGTTGACAGGAAGGTGGGAGTGCTTCCTAAGCTGGTATTAAGGAGCTCTCTTTCTTTGTGGAGGAGCTCCAGTAAGGCACGGCCAAAGTGAATTGATTTCCCAGCACTGTTGCGCTACTTGAAACAAGTTTGTGCGAAAAGTGCTCAGGAAAAGCAGCTTGACAAGGTAGCATGGCCGAGCGGTCTAAGGCGCAGCGTTCAAGCTGGGGAACAATCGTCCAACAAAGAAGAGGAAGAAGGGAAGAAAGAAAGAGAAAAAGGGAAAAAGTGGGGGGAAAAACGAAGAAAGGAAAGGGCGAATTCTAAGCTTCCCGGGCAAGCCTTCCCTGCACCTGCTTTACGTCACGCATAGTGATACTGTTCTGTGTCAATACAACGCATTTTGAGTTACATTGATTTCTATTGCAGGTGCTCACCAAGACCGGGGTTCGAATCCAGCTAAAGACGCTTTATTGTTATTGGTTTAGTATTACTCAATAAACTAACTGTTTGAATGTGTAATGCTCCAAGGTAAATAAAATATGCCTAAGCACTTTATTCTTGTGTTTTTTGACATTCTTTCATGAAAAATAAAGCATACTAACTTGAATGTGCCATTATTTAGTAGTTGTTGTAGCACTGTTATGCTTATGGTTATTATTGTTCTGTATTTTGATGTACAAATGATCTATAGAAATGTCATAGAGTATATGTGTATATATATGTGTGTATATAGTGTGCATAGTGTATATGGAATTAAAAGTCAAGTAGTCAGTTATTTATATATGCATTATTTATTCAACAATTGTCCACAGAACAGTAATGAATATAGAGTAGAAAATGTAAAAATAATAAATTAGTTATTAATAATACAATATTAACAATGTAAATAAACAATGTTAATAAAATGTTAAACACAAACAGAAACCGACACAAAGTGGACTTAAAAGTCAAGGACATTTATTAATGCAATATTTATTTAACAATGGTCAACAAAACAGTAATGAACATGGAATAAAAAATCAAAAAAATTAAATGTTAAATATTAACAGAATAAATACAAAATTAACAAATTAAATAAAATGTTAAATAAATTTAGAAACCAACAATAAGTGAAATAGAATAAATTTAACTATTATGGTTGTAACCTGTATACACTTTATACTATGGAAGCCCGTTCCCGCCACTGAATAAAAAAAAGAAAAAGAATTAATAATAAAAAAAAAATTAATGATAATATAAAGAAAATTTAAAAGTCAGAATTCTGAGTTATAAAGTCAGAATTCTGAGTTATAAAGTCGCAATTCCGAGTTATAAAGTCAGAATTCCGAGTTATAAAGTCAGAATTCTGAGTTATTAAGTCGCAATTCCGAGTTATAAAGTCAAAATTCTGAGTTATAAAGTCGCAATTCCGAGTTATTAAGTCAGAATTCGGAGTTACAAAGTCGTAATTCCGAGTTATAAAGTCAGAATTCCGAGTTATAAAGTCGTAATTCTGAGTTATTAAGTCGCAATTCTGAGTAATTAAGTCGCAATTCCGAGTTATTAAGTCAGAATTCTGAGTTATAAAATCGTAATTCTGAGTTATTAAGTCGCAATTCTGAGTTATTATGTCAGAATTCTGAGTTTATATCTCGCAATTCAGAGAAAAAAGGCTTATCTGAGTCTTATCTGTATGGCATGGAAGTAGGTTACATCGCTGGACCTTCTTATGAAGGCTATAGCCTAAATGGAAAAGATTATAGAGGATTATTTTTGGTGCGGTTTTACTAATAGAGAAATCTTAATTTTATTGGAGGAATCACACAACATAAAGTTTAGTTTGCGGACTCTTGAGAGAACGTTATGTATGAATCAGTTGTGGCGGAGACGCAATAAAACAGACGAGGCCGACGTGGCACGTTTTATACACCAACAGCTACAGACATCGGGACGACAACATGGATATCGTTGGATGCACCAGAAATGTTGGCTTTCTGGCATTATTACAGACAGAGAAACTGTCCGTCAGTTGATGCGGCTGTTAGATGGACAGGGAGTTGACCTGCGCGCTCGCGGTCGTCTGCGGCGACGCATGTATAACAGCCGCGGACCAAACTATGTTTGGCATATTGACGGGTACGACAAGTTGAAACCTTACGGAATATGCATAAACGGATGCATTGATGGGTTTTCCAGAAAAATGATCTGGCTTGAAGCATACAAAACGAACAATGACCCACGAGTAATTGCGGGTTATTTCATACAAGCTGTTGCTGAGAATAACGGATTTCCACATAGAATTCGCATTGACCATGGAACTGAAAATACGCATTTAGCAGATATGCAGACATTCTTCAGAGGCACTGCTAGTGCCGAATCTGTCACGCTTGGTCCAAGCACGGGGAACCAGAGAATTGAACGATGGTGGTCCACTTTGAGAAGTCAGTGCATACAATTTTGGATGGATCATTTTGAACAGCTAAAAGAAGATGGGCACTTTGTTGATAGTTTCATTGATAAATCTCTCATCCAGTTTTGTTTCCAGCATTCTATACAGGTAACATTTGGTTTACTATAGTTTATTTAATCATAAAAACAATATTGCCGTTAAAGATTAACTTAATATTTACATAGCCTACAATATGCAGTTTACAGTGTGTTTATTAATTTAATTTTGTTGCTTTTATTTTATAAAGGAAGAGCTTGATGAAATAGTCAGTGCCTGGAATTGCCACAGGATACGGCCAACTCACAATCCACGTGCTCCCAGTGGTCGACCTTCAATAATGTTTGCTGTTCCCAGCTTATATGGAGTGCAGAATTTCTTGCATCCAATTGAACAAACAAAGCTGAGTATTTGCAAAGAGGAGTGTTTAGTTAAAGACTACCCTTGTGATGAGGATGTCTTTCAACTGTGCGTAGAACTGATGGATGAACATAACCTTGCATTGTCAGATGATGTTTATGAAATTACAGACCTTTACCTTAAGCTTCGTGAACTAATCCTTGAAGGACTGGACTTGGATGACTAGATGCACCATTGAGATCTTATCTACAACTTTCACTAGAAGGTAAAGGTATTGTACACACACACACATACACACACACACATACACACACACACACACACACACACACACACAATATTATCTGTGAGCATTATTTGAAACACTTCTATTGTGCTTTTTTCATGCAAGTCTCAAAAGAACTCTCTGAGGTTAAAATCTCTGCAATTCCCACTTTACTTTCACTGTGCTGTGTCTGTCTATCAAGATAACAGGTGAGCAGGATTTATATTTCACTTTATTATTATTTGGCTTTAAACATGAATATGTTAATGAATTTTGTTACCATTATGCCCCAGACTCAAAAAGTCATTACATCTTTAATTATGAAACTGATAACAAGCCAGTTGTCTAAATGCCATAGTGTATAATTTAAGGGCATAATATTTAAATTGGGATTGCCACTGACATGTCATATTTTTATATGAAAAAAATTCTATAAACAAAACATTAACACAATGCCATTATTGATACAACTGGAATTGTATTTTTTTCTGCATCACAGTTGTGTTACAACTTAGCTGCATTTAACAGACATGTCAAATAACATTGCTTTTTTATGTACTGGGGCACATAAACAGCATGCAAAATGCTCACAGCAAACAAAGAATAATTTTAAAACATGAATTCTTCGTTACTAATGAATGAATGACACATCTGATGTATCTTCTGTGCCACTGTGGCAATCGAAGGATGTATTTTATTGATGCTGATTGTATTTGATTAGTAACAGCCCTATCTTCTAGGGTTATGGGATTAATGTACCTTTACTCTACATACTATAATGGAACAACTGTTTACATCCCATCATTTTCATACACGCTTCAGGATCCCTTGTCTGTCAGACACAGTGCTCAAAGTACAGTAAATAACCTCTAATATAATTCTTTATGATGACACACAATCACAGTGATGTTGCTTTGTGTTTTCAGAAGGAATGAATAATTTGTTCCAGACCATCCCATCCTCATGTGCAAAAGAAGGCCAGCAAACTTAGGTAGATGAGATAATAAAAGTGCATCAAGATGCACTTCACACACAAAAAAAAACTTTTTTATGACTACTTTTTTAAATGACATCTTTCCCAACTACAGTAATGCACATTTTTGCATGATTTCAAACACTTTTGTGGTGCTCTATTAATACTTTTAGACCTAACCTGAATGCAATAGAAACAGAGGAAGTGAGTTTTAGAAGTATTTTGTTACTCAAAAGTAAAATAATTTTGTTTAAACTGTAAAGCAATAGTACTGAAATTTTTCAAAATGTATAGAATTTTCATTTGTTTCACCTTAGGAATATAAAGGGGATGTATATTTAAAACATAAACTAAAGGGTTTAAATGGTAAACTGTCTGTATTTTGTGTTATACCTGAAATAAAGAACTGAATTTGTAATAGTATTTTTATTATTAAATATTCAACTTTGTAGTAGTACATTTTTGTTTCAAACAAATGCTCGAACAGTATTCCCAATGTTTTTCCTATACATGCTTAACGAACCTGTAATCATTTTAACATGGTACACTGGCTGTCAGGTTTTGTGCACCACTACAGAGCTTTAAGTGAAATTGATTTTAAAAGTTCAAAGTTTTTTTTTAATTAAAGCAGACTTTGATGAGCAATTTATTTATTGGCCAATAAAAAATGCAATGCTGAAATGCAAAAATTTATATGGGCTGAATATAAACAAAAAAGTAAATTTAGTTATGTTCTACTTAATTTGTTTGTTTAAATTCAGCCTAAACAATTTGTTTGCAACCACTTTTTGTAAATCCAATAAATCATTTTTTTTTTCAGTGTAGTAGCCTACTCACTCCATCTTGAATTCTCAAAAAAACATGGCACAATATATGGAGGTTGTGTTGTTTAATGTATGAGTACTTAACATTACAATGTGGTACAAGAAAAAATAAAACAAACCACATTAAAACTATTTCAATAAAACAATGTTATAAAATTGTTATGTATTGTTGCAATAATGCAACACCCAACTGTATAGAAACACAAACTTAAAAGGATAGTTCACCCAAAAATGAACTTGTCAATTTCCTCACTCCTTGCTTGTTTCTTTCTTCTGTTGAAGAAAGCTGAAAACCTGTAACCACTGACTTTCATAGTATTTGTATTTTCTTTTATGGAAGTCAATGGATACAGGTTTGCAGCTTTCTTCAAACTATCTTCTTTTGTGTTCAACCAAAGAAATAAATCCATAGAGGCTTGTAAACACTTGAGGGGTGAGTAAAAAGTGAGAACATTTTCATTTTTTTAGTGAACTATCTCTTTAGGAACACATAATCATTCAGACATTTATGTCAGGGTAGATGCAACTTGTACAATTAAATGTAAACAGTTGTTTGTAACTATGAAGAAAACTTTCACTATTTAGGGGCAACATTCAATGAACAATTAAAGTGATTGTTTTACTTTATGAACTTGTCAAATAATGGTAGAGCGTGTACATGTATGAAAAAGGAACCATTAAAACATTTGGACAGTTCCAAGCCTATTTGACTGAACAGTTGAAATTAACAATTTAATGATTTAACTCAAACATTTGGTTGCACCTATTTTTTTTTAATCAAATCTCAATCATCAAAAAAAAAAAAAAACTCAATCATCAAAAATAATAAAGGTTGGTCTGCATTCAATGTAACCAGCAATATGTAAGTGCAAAATTAAAGGGAATGATTTACTTTCTGTATACAGTGTGAATTAACTGTATGAAGTGTAATAAGAATGACAGAAAACAATAGCTTGCATAGGAGCTGGCCACAACTCAGTTCCGACTAAATCCACTAAACTATGTCCATGACCCAGATGTTGCTTTCAAGGACTTTGTTCATTTCAGATCTGAAATCAGGGTAGTTGTCATAGTGCACTGAAAGCCTCAGAAAACAGCCACATGTGTGCGCCACTGGTCTTCTCTCAAACCCTTTAAGGTCTGTGAAATCAACTGTTATAGCTTTGCCTATAAACAAATCTGATCCAGTACAGAATCGAAGAAACAGAGACTGCCGTTTTGCATCACACTCCCTCAAGTAAGTTGTCAAGTGCTTTGAAATGTCCTTTTGCTGTACATTCATTGTTTCAGGAAATTTGAGAGATTGCACAATTTTCCTCACTGTTGGTTGTAATGCACAGTACACATCTTCAATTTCCTCAAGGTCCTTCCTCAGAGGTCCAAGTATGCATGCCCACTGTTCAAGAACATAAGCAGGCTCTTGAATGAGAGTTTTGTGAGCCAGTTCTTCCAAAATTTGCTTGAAGTTTTCATTTGTTGGAATTCTTCGACAACTGTAGTTGTCTAAGGTCTCAAGCAATTCCTCCTGGTCTGCACTACAGAAGTCTTTTCTGCAGCTTTCTAACAAAGCACACTCGTTTTCTGAGACATACTTCAAAAAGTTCTCAATCAGATCACTTTTCACAGATCCCTGTATTGCTTGCTGGAGGATGACAGGTGCAAGTTTTATTGGGAGATATTTCTCTTTCTTCCAGCCGAACAAAATTATTCGGGCCACACTTTCCCACTTTTCTTTGCCAAAGTCATGTCGAAGAAAGGGAACTTTAAAATTGTTCCCCAATGTGCACTGATCATAAAATTCCTGCCAGAACTCTGATAGGCAATCCCTAAACACTCCACCAACATCATGACCCATCTCAAACTGTCCATTTGGGAGCAGCAGCTTCACTTCTACTTCACTCTGTGTATGAATAAGGGTTTCATCACAGAAATGGGCAATGAGCTCTGAAAATATTTGTCCACGATGAACAACAAGGATTTTTTTCTGTGGAGCAATGGGTTCTGGGCTCAGCGGCAAAGTGTCATCTAAGTTTTGTTCATCTATTCCAATGATGTCACCAGTGAGTACTGTTACTACATTGCTTGAATCTAAGTAATCTGGCAAGGTCACTAAAGAACTTTGAAAAGATACATTCAGGTCATCATCTGCAATATGATCCTCTGTGGAATGAAAGGGAGATGCAGTGTCATTAACCGGACTATCTACATAAATTACATCCATCTCTGAAGGAAAGAAGTCATTCATCCCACTGGAAGTAGAGGGAAGGCTTTGATCCTGGTTATTACTGTGAAAGTTCTCCATTTGATCTGACATTTCCTCTTCACTTTCTGTTTCCACTTCCCTCTCCACCTTTTTTGTTGTCAAGTAGAACCTCATCATTGTGAGTTTGGATGCATTATACATTTCCCCCACTGTAGATTCTGCATCTAGTGACACTTCCTGATAATTTGTTAGATCCAATTTAAACTCAGAAATACTCCCATGAGAATTTTTTCCATTTGGAAAAAACAGACGAATTGCCTCCTCAATCAGCTCTTCCCTTTTCCATTCTTTTGGAACACTCAACTTCCTTGTTCCCCCTCCTTTTTTTGCTCTCATTTGAACAAAGCCCTGACCATCATGGTGCATCCACCCCATTTCAATTTTTCTTACAGTACGCTGAGAATGTTTTTTTGTAGTATTTTGGGTTTCTGTTTGTGAATTGTCAGGTTTTTGTCTTTTGGTCAGTTTTGATTTGAGGCGCTCAAACAGCTTTGACTTCCTGCAAGTTGGTTCTCTTTCTTGCCTCCTACAAAATCCCATCACGGCCAGTCTGTCTCCATATGAAGGAAAATAGCTTCTCATCTGATCATCAGTCATTAACAGTAGGACACTGACATCAATCTGCAAAATAAATAAATACTTACATAAATAAATACAGACACACACACACACTCACGCGTATATATATATATATATATATATATATATATATATATATATATCTATACATATATGTATGTACTGTATGTATGTATGTATGTTTTTAGATATATATATATATATATATATATATATATATATATATATATATATGTGTGTGTGTGTGTGTGTGTGTGTGTGTGTGCGTGCGTGCGTGTGTTTATGTGTAATCCACCTATGCAGTTTCAGAGTTGTGCATAAAGTAAATCAAACTAAATTTAGAGTACCAAAACTAAATAATAACAAATCTGAGTTGGCTGAATAAAGTAAATTTAATACTAAAGTATTTAAGTAAATTACCCTTAAAGATTGTTGGTGTATGGGTTCACTATTTATATTTAAATGGCACTCTGACTTCTTGTACTTTGTACTTCCTTATAATACAGTAAACTTGCTATATTTAATGTTTTCATAAGAAATCCAAAAGAAAGACATTGAAACATCTAAGGAGTCGATACAGTAACTGAGCTAAATGAGTTAACCTCTGCTACCATCTACTGGTTATAAATGACAAGTTCATGTTATTTTATTTATTTTTATTTTCATATTTCATTTCATATTTCTGCCATTACATACATTTTGGTACTTTGTTTTTCAATAAATGTATTAAATTTCTGTAATATTCCCCAATGGTGTAGTACTGTTTTCTTTGAGTATGCCTCTTAGTAACTATGAATGGTTTAAAAAAGAATGTAAAATATGGTCATTCAAAATATGGCATTAATATATGTTTTTTAAGTACAAGCAGTCTGCTAGTATTATGCATGTCAACAAGCAACTGGTTAATATTAAGATTCAGTCACTAAACTGAAGTATAATTGAAAGTGTTTAGGTAAACACTGGAGCTTTGCCAAAGTGTTCAGCTTAAGTTAAGTTATTTATTGTAAAATAAACAGTATATAACTACTTTAAGAAATAAAACTGCAAGTGACTAAAATTAAACATGCATTAAAATGTCCACTTCTTCCAAATTATGACTTTAAAAGTGTGTGGTAAATTGTTTAGGTATTACCTTGTCTTCCTCCAGTCGTTTGATAGTTGTTTCAGGGATGTTTCTCTCCCTTAGTAAAATTATTAATTCGTCCATCCTACAATGATAGTTTTAAAAGGAAAACATAGTGAGGCTAGAGGCCAATATAAAGCCTAGACCGAGTATATAAGCCAGAAAACAAAATCCATGTACTTTTGTGGTTAGTATACTGTACATAACAAAGCAAGCTTTGAATCCAAACCTAATTTTACTCCCTTTTGGTGCAATGTAAACTAGCCTACTGAATTGTCCATAAAAGCAACACGACTACTATTCGAGGAAACCGCATGAGCCTGTAGGCTATGATACCACACACGCAAAACTTTCGGATTTTACACTCGCCAAAGGCTTCTATTATAACACGGCATTTACTGTAACACTTCATATCGTAAATAATTATCATGCCAAATAGTAAATATGACCATACCTTGGCGTCGCAGAAACGTTCAGCTGCTGGCGACAGGAACTCTCGTAACGTAATATGAAATGTCGTGAGAAATTGTCGAAATTCAAAAGATTTTTTTATAACTCAGAATTGCGACTTAATAACTCATAATTGGGACTTCATAACTCAGAATTCTGACTTTATAACTCAGAATTCTGACTTTATAACTCGGAATTGCTACTTTATAACTCAGAATTCTGACTTTATAACTCGGAATTGCGACTTTATAACTCAGAATTCTGACTTTATAACTCGGAATTGCGACTTTATAACTCAGAATTCTGACTTTATAACTCGGAATTGCGACTTTATAACTCAGAATTCTGACTTTATAACGCGGAATTGCGACTTTATAACTCAGAATTCTGACTTTATAACGCGGAATTGCGACTTTATAACTCAGAATTCTGACTTAATAACTCGGAATTCTGACTAAATAACTCGGAATTGCGACTTTGTAACTCAGAATTCTGACTAAATAACTCGGAATTGCGACTTTGTAACTCAGAATTCTGACTTAATAACTCGGAATTCTGACTTAATAACTCGGAATTGTGACTTAATAACTCAGAATTCTGACTTTATAATTTTTTTAAAAATAGTATTATATATATTTTTTTTATATAAATTCTTAATTTTTTTATCATTCAGTGGCGGGAACGGGCTTCCATATTATACATACACACACATATAAATAATAAAAAAGTTAAATAAAATGTCAACAAAATAAATACACTATTTAAATAAAAAGTGCAATAAAACAGAATCAAACAAGGTAATTGAAGAACTATTATGGTTATAAACTGTATAAACTTTAGACATACACATAAATAATAAACAGTTAAATAAAATGTTAACAAAATAAATTATTTTTATAAAATGTGAAATAAAATAGAAACCAACAAGTGAAATAGTATAAATTGAAGAACTATTATGGTTGTAAACTTTATACACTCTGTACACACACACATATATATAAATAATAAGTTAAATAAAATGTTAACCAAATAAATACACTATTTAAATAAAATGCGCAATAAAATAGAAACCAACAACAAGTGAAATAGAATAAACTACTATGGTTATACATTTTATAAATACACACACATATATAAATAATAAATAAGTTAAATAAAATGTAAACAAAATAAATAATTAAAAAGTAAAATGTGCAAAAAACAACAAGTGAAATAAAATAAATTGAATTATGGTTATAAACTGTAAAAACTATACACACACACACACATAAATGTTATATAAGTTAAATAAAATGTCAACAAAATAAATACACTATTTAAAGAAAATGTGAAATAAAAATATAAACTAACAGCAAGTGAAATTTAAAAAACTGAAGAACTATTACACTATATA